CATAAATAATCAAGTTTTTTTAATTATAATTAAATTTAATTATAATATAAATTACAGGGATATGTTTACTTATTTACTCAGTCCCTTGCATATGTTTTCAGGGTTGAGCTTGAAACAAGTAACTAGAATCAAAGTTTGTCTATTCAGATACACTTGGACAGCCCTCATACTTCAGAGATCTGCAGAATATGGCATTTAAATGTTGATCTAAAAACTTATTATATCAGACAGGCTTCCAGATCCTAGCAGTGACCCAAGGTCTCCAAAGAAGATTACATACAAGGCACCACAACGTCTCTGCCTGGATCATGGCTACACTGACCACAGGGCAAGATGCCCCAATGCCTGGCTTACCCGAGAGCTGCAGAAGGAGGTGGCACATTTTTGGGAGCTGCTGATGGCTCAGGGACTCTCAGCCTCTGCCCTAAGAGGTCTAAAGGTAAAAGAGAACAGTCCTAGAGATGCTCTGTCAGTGGTATCATCTCCTCCCACCCCAGCTTCACCCTAGTCTCCTCCTCCACACAATGGGGAGCTGGAGCCCTCTTTCTCCCCCAGTGCTGAGCCCCAGATTGGGCCTGAGGAGGCCATAGAGAGGCTACAGGAGACGAAAAAGATTATTGCCAAGATAAATGAGACTTGAAAAAAAAGCCTCCTAAGACAAAAGCCCTCAGAATATAGAGAGAAACATTGCTGGCTAAGATGGGCGTGGCTGTCCGAGAGGATGGTGGTACTGTAAAAGACTCCCCACCTGGTAAATCTAAATGAGGACCCCTTGATGTCTGAGTGTCTTCCCTACCACATCAAAGATAATGTCACCAGGGTTGGCCAGGTAGATACGGATATCAAGTTGACTGGACAGTTCATCTGGGAGCAACATTGTCTCTTCCGAAGCTTCCCCCAGCCTGATGGAAAAGTGATGGTCACATTAGAGCCTGGTAAAGGAGCTGATGGGAAGCTTGTGACGGAACCACTGGTGCTGAAGTCAGGAAACAGGATCGTAATGGGCCGGATGGTGAAAAAAGATTGATGCTGTTCTGACTGGTGCCTCCAACGCTGTGGAGACCTGGGTAGGAATTGGTCCCTGTAATTTATAGGATTGGAAGCTTCTTGGTCTGCACTCAGATATTATCCTTCTCAGATTTCTGATAGTACTGATGGCCAAGCTAGCTCTAACTATGTCAGCGTGGCAGCATTACACAACCAGATCCTTCTGCAAGGAGATAGCTAGCTTGTTAGTTCACTTTTAGGATAAAAAAAACTTCTAAGCTTTGACGATCTCAAAAAAATGATTTAAGATAAAATATGTTTCAGATTACTCTCCTGTTCTATGGTTCAGAGCTTAACATTTAGGAGCCCTGATGAGCTGGTAGAGCAATGACTACTTACTGT